CTTAAAAGGCATAATAACTATAAATTATCTTCAGGAAAACATAAGTAGTTATAAAGTGGAATATCAAAACATAATGGGCAGAAAAGAAAACTAGAGAGTTTTTAATGTAAGTAAAGTTGTTATCAGCTCATATTACAACTATAGGGTATTTTATGTAATCTTGGTAACACCGAGATTCTTATAGAAGTTACACAAAAGAATAAAATCAAAACCTATAAATACAAAAGAAAAAAGTAACAAAAGACAGCAAAGAAAAGGGAGACAAAAGAATTACATGACAGTGCTTGCTTCAGCAGCACATATACTAAAATTGGAACAATACAGAGAAGATTAGCATGGCCCCTGCACAAGGATGACATGCAAATTCATGAAGCTTTCCATATTTTTAAAATAGGACATGCATGTAAATTCCAAATAGTTTCTCTCCTGTGAAAAACGAAAAGTGTAAATAAGATCCAAATTGTATAACTGATAATGTGAAATAGGAAGAAAAGGGCTAAAGGTGTAGGGGAAGTGGGAAGGGTAGGGAAGGGAAATAAGGAAAAAGAAAAAATATGAGAAAAGGAAAAATGGAAACAAAGTCTTTGTAAATAGGGAAGGGTGGAAGGGGTGAAGGAGGGCAGGAGTTTGGGGAAAAAATGAGAAGCAAGATCTGTCATGTAAAGGTACAAGATCCCAGTGATGGATGTAACTGCACTGTATACCTAAAAAGTACCAATAAACTGAATGAAAAAAATTACAAGACATATAGAAAACACTTGACAAAATAGCAAAGGTAAATCCTTACCAATACATTAAATACATTTACATTTACCAATGCATTTACATTAAATGTAAATAGACTAAACTCTCAAATAAAAAATAAAGCCATCCACACACACATGCAAGATCAAATTGTATGTTATCTCTATAAGCCTCACTATGGAATCAAGGATACATATAAAGCGGGAAAAGTTCATGTAAATGGTAATCAAAAGAAAGCAGAAGTGAATCATATTTTATCAAAGTAGACTTTAAGCTAAAAAATGTCTCCAGAGTGGAAGATCACTTACTACACAACAACAAAAGAGCCAATTCAGCAAGAAGATATAGCAATTCTGAGCATATGTGCACCCGACATCCAACATCACAATATCTACACATAGAAAACAACTATTGACTGATCTGAAAGGAGAATTTGACAGCATTTCACAGTAATAGTACAAAATTTCAATACCTCGTTTTCGATAATGGATGGAAACATCTAGACAGGAAATAAATAAGTAGCAGACTTCACCAAAACCGTAGACCAAGTGGACTTGGCAGACATAAACAAAAGTTTCAAATCAACAGCAAGCCACACACACTTCTTTTAAGTGAGGAAGGAACCTTCTCCCAGATGAATCATGTGTTAGGTCACAAAACAAATCTTAATGTTAAGATTGAAATCATACCATATTTTTTTTTACTATTGTGTAATTATCTAGAAATCAGTAATAGCAAGAAAATTGGAAAATTGTGAATTTAAAATTTGGCAGGGCTTGGTCCAGGAATTTTATCTCTGCTGTCCATAGTGCCTGTCAGCCGGAGTGGTTCAGTAGGGTTGCAGGGCCCCCAAGTCCCACTTCCACGTTGACTCACATACTTGACCCACAGACTCGTGGCTGTCGGTAGCTGTCCATGTGAGCCTTTCCATGGAAAGCTGGGTTTCCTTGGCACAGAGTGGTCAATTTCCACCAAAAAATAAAAAAGCCCCAAGGGAACTAGGAAGACATTCTGTTGCTTTTTAAGGCTTTGCCTTGTAAGTCATTTAGCATTATTTCCACTGTCACCACAAATCCTTCCAGTTTCCTTATAAAGTCACTTTGTAAGGAGTGTGATGGGAGATACTGTGGCACTGATTCTTGGAAAATGCCATTACCTACACGGAAGTAAATTCACTTCTACTCTTTGGCTCCACTGTCTTCATTTCTTCATCAAGTAGGAAGCCTATGATGTTTATTCATATGCACTGCTAATATCCCAAGGGAAAGAGGCGCGAGAGAGGAAGGGTGACAGCAGTCAGGAGCACAGGGACCAGAATTCACTCTGTATGTCACAGGATGGATTTAAGTCCCAGCCTCTTCATTTCTTACCTGCTTCTCATTCCTTCCCCAGTGCCTGGAAGTCAGGCTGTCTCTCTTGGCTGTGAAGTGAGAAAGGCACATGCATGGAAAGAACTGTAACCAAGGGCTAGGTCTGGGTTTTGAGGAGTCTGAAGCTCATATAATTGAGGGTAGTAAGGAGGTCATATCAGTAAGGGACCTCCATCTTGCATTCCATCAACTTAGTGGTGAGGCCATGAAGTTGCCTTTATCCTAGTCCTCAAGCTCTAGAGGCTTTCCTGTCTTCCTGCGTGAGATATCAATGCAGTCCCTATATAGTCTTCCTCCTGTTTTCTCCCTCGCTGAGATGGAAAGCAAAGCACAGAAGTCTTGTATTGAAATCTCTTGGAAATTTGGCTCTCTCTTTGCCCTTGTAGTATCCAAAAGAACATGGGAATTTCCTCTTTTTGCCCAGACTTCCATGATTTTCCGCCATAATGAAGGACAAGAATTTGGCTGGGACACTTTATTCTTTTGGAAATGTGGCACAGAAATATGAATTTCCATAGGCAGAAGAATTACCCTGTCTGGTTGAGTCTAGACTGTCCATTTGCCCACAAATTTTCTGGAGTTCATGCTAACACTCTGAGAAGCCTCTTAGACTTACTCTGAGGGAAGGAAACAAACCACCTGGAACTTTAATATGTGTGAGTAGGTGGGAAGAAGCTCACAAACATGGGTAGTGACAGTAGACAACTTTGACAGAGGATAAATTATAACTAAAAAGGGAAAGACGCTTTTTTTGTCCAAATCCTACCAAAATGATCACAGCCACCCAGCAATAGTGGAGCACCTCCATCATCTGGAACAAGGGGAGGCTGTATTTCCTAGATACAGAAACATCACCAGAGTTGTGGACCCGAGACTAAGGGAGAAACTAAGAAGTCCCCCAGATACTGTGGAGAGAAGAAAGCTCTAACTCCTGGCGAAGTGCTGCTCCCTGATTTCCTGGCTGTCTTCCATGGATAGGCCTGCCCTTAGACAAACTCTCTGGAAATGACGTGGGTTTTGGCATGCTGGGCACTAGGTGGGGCTTTGACTGTGGAAGTCAAGTGTTGGTTAGAGAAAAATACTATCCGCTGCTAAGTGTTGGCTGGTTCGCTCTGAAACTGGGGAAAAGCCCACTGTTCTGTTGTGGTGCCCTTAACTTGGCTTCCACATTTCCTTTGGGAATAAAACTTCAATATGATCCCATCTTTCAGGCAGTATCTGTCTTGCAAATAGATTTTCATGTCTTAAAAGAACAAGTGGGGGAAGTGATCAGACTGTAGTCTAGTGCTTTTTTTTTTTAATGGTGCCAGAAGTTTATTTGAAAAGTGAGGGGTAAAGGGGTAAGAGAAAAACTGGCTCTGCAGAGATAACTTGGGCCAAACAAAAGAAAGGATAAAAGTAAAGATAGTAACAAACACCCTGGTAGAAGACATGGAGTAGGCTTTTGTGAAGAGTCACAGTAGCCTATATCACAGTAGCCTGTAGTCTAATTCTTCACTCAACTGAATGATCATTTACATCTGACAGCATCACAAAGCTATTCATAGATAAGCAGAGACTGAAGGGACACATCTACGTGCTTTTCGAAAAGAGAGAAAAAGAAACCCTTAGAAAATGCACTTTAGTAAACTGGGAAGTGATTCGAGTTAAGGATGGACTTGTGAGATCCAGACACTGTCAGCCTGGGCTTTTGTGGAGCCTTAAGCAGATCCCTGTCACCATGCAGGAAGCTGACTTCTTGCAGGTGGGAGGACAGCAGTGAAAGTGCAGGGAACAATTCCCAAGAAGGGGATTGACCCTTACTTACTCATCTTCCAGTAAATCCTATTCCAACTTTCCTGTTGTGTCTTGCACAGACTGTCTTTGAAAGAAATTGCCGATCCGAGGATTGTGCCGCCGACCTACAACTTCGGGGTAAACTGCTGCTCTCCAGGTATGTCAGTGTTCATTTCATGATATGTTCTTCTGAGAAGCTTATTTCTCTTAATTCCAGGCCGCAAATCTGGATATTCATATTTCCTCACCAGAAATGGTAAACAGTGTTTTTGGTGGGTTATCATGATACTTTGTAGTTTTAAAGTGATGTGTGTTGAACTAAACACGGTAGCACATGCCTATAATCCCAGCTACTCAAGCAACCGAGTGAGGATGATTCCAAGTTCATACCTTCCTGGGCAACTTAGACTTTTTCTCGAAATTTATAGTAAAAGAAAAACTGGAGTGCAGTTCACTAGCATAGTGCTTGCCTAGCATGCACAAGATCACCACCCTCCAACAAAATTTTTTTTAAAAGGTATGTTATAAAATAATTTTAGCAACAGCTATTCTTTAGAGGGGGATATTTGTTTTGGTGTTTTTGAGATAACGTCTTGCTGTGCTGCCCATGCTGGCCTCAAATTGTGATCTTCCCATCTCAGCATCCCAAGTATATGGGATTGAAAACATGCAGTACCATGCCTAGTTGATAGTTTGGATCTTGTTTGCAATTTCACATATCTCCCAC